CGTCGGTGACGTTGGATGCTGCGTCGGTAGCGTTAGATGTTGCGTCGGTAGCGTTAGATGTTGCGTCGGTGACGTTGGATGCTGCGTCGGTAGCGTTAGATGTTGCGTCGGTAGCGTTAGATGTTGCGTCGGTGACGTTGGATGCTGCGTCGGTAGCGTTAGATGTTGCGTCGGTAGCGTTAGATGTTGCGTCGGTGACGTTGGATGCTACGTCAGTGCTGAGTTGGTAAATACAACGCTGATGAACACTGCGTCACAATCACACACGACAATGTGCAGTCATGCGTCACAACTACGCACGACGCTGCAAGATGACGCTATCGAACACTGCGTCAATCCTGACGCGACGCTACTAAACACTGCGTCTACCCTGGCGCGACGCTATTAAACACTGCGTCAACCTTCAGACGACGCTATTAAACACTGCGTCAGTATACATACGACGCAATCTAACTTGCTGTGAGCAGACGTCTGTGACGCTAAAACACACAGCGTCAGGTGGGTGACGCTAACCACCACGTGCGTTGGAAAAACGCGACGCTGAAGATGCGAAATTTCGCGTCAAACACGAACGACGCAAGCACACACGGGCGGGACGCTGTTCGGTGCCGCGTCAACACGTTTGACGCTGAAATGCACTCGCTTGCTCCACCGTTGCGTCACCTGATGTGAGTTGCTGGTCAAATGGTCAAAGCCTCTCTCTCTGGCTTATCTCTTGCATGCGCTCCATCTCTCTTGCGCGCTCTCCCTCTCCCATTAATTCTAACGCTAACTCTCTTGCATTCTCTACATCTCTCTCTCTCTCTCTCTCTCTCTCTCTCTCTCTTCCTCTCTCTCTGCCTCTCGCTCTCGATCTCTTCTTCGCCCGTTCTCTCTTCTCTCCTCTTCTCTCTACTTCTCCCACATCTCGCCTTTTACTTGCCCCTCCCTCATCTCTATCCGTGTTGACATCTCTAGGCGTACAATCTCCCGTACAGATACGCATCGGGCGCAGCAGCAGCAGCAGCATTATTATCAACATCAACATCAGCAGCACCACCACTACCACCAGCAGTATCATCATCATCATCAGCAGCAGCAGTATCATCATCATCATCAGCAGCAGCAGCAGCAGCAGCAGCAGCAGCAGCAGCAGCAGGGTATTAAGTTCGCAGCAGCGACGGCAGATTAATATGCGACCTATAATGGTATATAGGTGTCAATCCAGCCATCTCTCTCAACCATCTCAGCGCCAGCAACATCAACGACCACCACCACCCCCACCAGCATCAGCAGCAGCAGCATCATCATCATCATCAGCAGCAGCAGCAGCATCATCAGCAGCAGCAGCATCATCATCATCATCAGCAGCAGCAGCAGCAGCAGCAGCAGCATCAGGGTATTACGTGCGCAGCAGCGACGGCAGATTAATATGCGACCTATAATGGTACATAGGTGTCAATCCAGCCATCTCTCTCTCAGCCATCTCATCACGCCAGCACTATGAATGAATAGTAAGTGGCATGCAGCCACACGCATGCAGCTATTCATGTCACTGACAGTGACTTCGTGCGCTTATAAATGGAGAAGATAAAAGTTCACGGGTGAAGAGGATGGGAGAGCAAAAGGGATTGGAGAGGGGTAGGAGTGGAGAGAAGGAGGAGGAGTGGAGAGGAAGCGCAGAATGGGAGATGGAGGAGGAGGGAATAGCAAAGAGGATTGGAGAGGGGAGGAGGAGGGGAAAGGGAGGAGGAAGGGGGAGTAAGGAGGATGGGAGATGGAGGAGGGGGGGGAGTCGAGAGCAAACGAGCATTAGCGAACAGTGCTACAGTGTATAATATCATACAGACACGTAATATATTCACACACATATATAATAACACCATCAATCATTCAATCAATCAATCAATCAATCAATTAATCAATCAATCAATCAATCAATCAATCAATCAATCAATCAATCAACCAATCAATCAATCAATCAATCAACCAAGCAATCGATCAATTAATCAATCAATCAATAAATAAATCACTCAACAAATCAATTAATCAATCAAATCAATCAATCAATAATCCCAACCAACCAACCAACAAATCAATCAATCAATGAATCAATCACTCACCGTCCGTATGTACGACCGACACGTACGTCCACTTGAACCTCTTGACTATGTCGACCATCACCTGCGCCTGGAAGAAATCGCTCGGAACGACGCGCAGGAAGTATTTAAACAGGTCCTTATCGCTGAGCGTCTGGCTGGTCGCCGAGTAGCCGATCTGCGGGATGTTGAACAACTGGAAGAGATTCTGAACGGGAATCGTCACCGAACTCGATCCGGGTCCGATCACGCCCGCGATATTCTTCGTCACGCCCGTCTGGCACGTATCGTTGCCGGCGCCCTCTGCCGGCTCGTCGTAGCGCGATATGACGTCGCGTATGAACTCGATGCTCTGCTCCAGCGCGACGCTGCTGAACCAGCAAGAGTCGCGGATTTCGACGCCGAGCCGGACGCCGGGCAGGAAGGTCGGGTCAGCGTTGATGACGTCGATCGCGTGGAGCGTGACCTCGGTGCGGTGGATTCCGTACTCTTCCCAGACGAGGCCGCACGTGCGCGAGTAGGAATCACGGATGCGCGGCGCGCGGTGGATCGGGAAGAGAATCCCGATCTGGACGTCTCCCTCGATGTAGGCGGTTTTGCGCGAGCTGAGGGAGGCGGGGGACGCCGGAGGAAGGAGGAGGGGAAGGAGGAGGAGGAGGAGGGTGGTGGTGGTGGTGGTGGTGGCCATGGTGGGTGTGTGGGTGGGAGTGGGTTAGGAGGAGCGGGGAGGGGTGATGTGTGGAGACATTGCTGTGCGGTGCAGAGACGCGAGCGCACTGCGGTTGGGTGTCGCGTCGGTGACGTTGGATGCTGCGTCGGTGACGTTGGATGTTGCGTCGGTGATGTTGGATGTTGCGTCGGTGACGTTGGATGCTGCGTCGGTGACGTTAGATGCTGCGTCGGTGACGTTGGATGCTGCGTCGGTAGCGTTAGATGTTGCGTCGGTAGCGTTAGATGTTGCGTCGGTGACGTTGGATGCTGCGTCGGTAGACGTCAGTGCTGAGTGGTTAAGAATCAAGCTTGATGAACACTTGTGTAGACAATCACTTCACACAATGTGCCAGTCATGCGTACATACGCACGACCTGCACAGAACGCTATCGACACTGCGTCAATCCTGAGCGACGCTACTAACACTTGCGTCTACCCTGTGCGCGACGCAATATTAAAACACTAGCTCAACCTTCAGACGAGCTATTGAACCCTGCGTCATATACATAGCGACGCAATCTAACTTGCTGTAGCATACTCCTACGCTAAAACACACAGCGCAGGTGGGTTGACGCTAACCGACTCACTGCTTGAAAAAACCGACGCTGAAGATGTCCGAAAATTTCGCGTCAAAGCACGAACTGACTTGCAAGCAACACGGGCGGACCTTCTCGTGCCCGCGTCAGACACGTTTGACGCTGAAATGCACATGCGCTTGCTCCCACCGTTGTCGTCACCTGATGTGAGTGCTGGTGCAAGGATGGTCAATAGCTCTCTCCGGCTCGTACTCTCTCTCTCCNCTCTCTCTCGTCTCTCTCTCTCTCTCTCTCTCTCTCTCTCTCTCTCTCTCTCTCTCTCTCTCTCTCTCTCTCTCTCTCTCTCTCTCTCTCTCTCTTCTCTCTCTCTCTCTCTCTCTCTCTCTCTCTCTCTCTCGCTTTCGCTACTAGCTCGTGCTCTTTCTTTCCCCCTCTGTCTCTCTACAGTGGTAGAATCCGGAGAGATGCTGTGTGTATCGAATTGCTCGTGTACTTGCTTGTGACTGTGTGTAACCGCAAGCATGTGTTTATCTGTGCGTGCGTGACTGCGTGCGCGCATACGCGTGTGTGTCTATCTATACGCGTGCGTGTGCGTGTAAGTAGACGTGAGTTAGTCTGTGCCTCTGTCGGTAGCCGTGACAACAGTGGGCCATTAGCGTGGGTTTCTCCGAGCAAAGCAGAGCTACTTGTAAAAGAGAGACACTATGGGATGAGCAACCCAGGAATCACCTCTTTTTCCTCTTCTTCGCGCTATTTTTCGTCTTTTCTCTCTCTCTTTCGTTCTCTCTCTCTCTCTCTCTCTCTCTCTCTCTCTCTCTCTCTCTCTCTCTCTCTCTCTCTCTCTGTCTCTCCCTCTATCTCTCTC